GGCCAGTGGCTGCAGGAGCTCCGGGGACCCCAGCCCACTGCCTCCCACGAAACACCGGGCGGTTTCTCATTTTCCCCTTGAGCGGTTTCACAGCCCAGTTAAACCCGCAGCAGAGGCTGGCTGGGAGGGAGACCCAGGCCGGGCAGGGAGGTGAGGGAGAGGAATCCAATACGCCTTCATGTGCCCCGCCCCCACCTAATACGTTGAATGACCAGGATGACTCAAGGGGGACAGTGCTGTGTGAATCCTAGCCCTGGCCCTGCCCCGGAGGCAGGACAGTCCCCGCCGAATACATAGGCACAGCGTGTACTAGGGGGTGGAAAAATCAGGATATGTTTTCTATGCAAAAATGTGTCATGACTTTTCTGACGACCCACTAGTCCTGCATTTAGACTCCTGGGTTTTTTGTTTGTTTGTTTTGAGAGATTTCTGCTATACGGGAGTGCATCCGCCAGAGAGACAGAAAGTGAGAAATCACCCCTCCCCCACCCCTGGAGATAGATGGCCACGCCATAATCCCTTCCTCATTCCCCTCTGGGGATTTTGGACATGCACGCACACGCACCCGGCATAAGTTTCCACCGGGTCTGGGACTCAAACCGCTGTTGACCACTAGAGAGTCCAGCACCTTAACCACTATGCCCTGCTGGCCCTCAGCTGTGTTCACGTTTATCTGTTTCTCCCGTGAGTGACAGGCAGCACCCGCAGCTGGGTCTTGGTGCCGCAGTCCACCCCAGCCCCCTCGGTCCCTCCCCCACGGGCACGTGGGGGCAGTTATCTGCCTGAATCGGGGACCTCCCTGTGGGACTCACAGAGCGAGCGTCATGTCCCCCCACTGCACCAAGCAGCCCAAGCTCCTTACCTTCGAGGGCAGAGTTAGGCCCTCGTTCATTTCCCTCGGCGAAGGCGGGCTGCAGGTTTCCGTTGTCCCTCGGTGTCCCCCAGGCACCCAGCTGGAGTCTGGTCCTTCTCGTCTGTAGAGCCAGGGCGAGGTTGGAAGCACTGCTGGTGGGAGCCTCCCAGCACCCAATTCTTGTTAACGGTGTCAGTCCGTAACCACGCGGGGCGCTCTTGGGCTCATTTCCCAAATATCAGAACAGAGGCCCAGTAGCCAGCAAATGGCACAGCAATTGTGTTGCTGGACTTTGACTTGGTCGACTGTGGTTCAAGTCCTGGATCCGGTAACATGAAGTTCACGCCAGGCACGTGTGCATGCCCAAGCCTCCAGGAGGAGGATGGAAGAGGATGACATGGCCGTCTCTCCAGGGCATGATTTCTCCCTGTCTCTGTCTCTCTTCACCCCTCCTCCTCACCTCCAACCCCTCCCCAATAACTCTCTCCCTGTGAGCACAACACCCTAGGGCAAAAACTTATCAAAAAAAATTTTTTTAAACACACAGAAGCCTACGGTGGGTGTGGTGTCTTCCCCAGGGTCACACAGCTCAAAGCCAGAGCTTTTTCCAGAAGGTTCTCTGAGAGCCAGGCACAGTGAGGGGCAGGCATCCCACATGGCCATCTCTGGGGGCCTTACTCCACCTTCTCAGGGATCTGGGGTCAGGGCTGACCGGGGCCACGCAGGTTGGGCCACACCCGGTCCAGCTCTGGGCACCTCCAGTGTCACTGTTGGACGCCTGCTCGCCCCGATCCAGCAGCCTCCGACCCCACAGTGGTGCTCAGAGCCATCGGAGTCAGCCACTTCGCTCCAGCCACTGGGGCCTCCTCTCTATCCTTGTATGCAAAGCTGGCCCTCAGTCCTCCGACCCAGCCTGGCAGACCCAGCCTTGCCAGGCGCTGTGCTGAGAATTCCTGTCCCGCCTTCTGCTCCCCGTGGCCTCGCCTGGCTCACTCCATTCTCTTCCCAGTGCTTACCGCCCTCTGACTTACTCTGCGATTATCTGTTTGCTACTGGCCGCTCCTCCTCCCTCCCCCTACTGGAACGTTCCACGGGGCGAGTCCTGTTAACTGGTCACCGCTGAGTCCTCAGGGCACAGAGTGGCATCCAGGACAGAGGCACGCAGATGGTTAGTGTGAGAATCCGCCCGCTCTCCCTCCGCTGTCACAGCCCTGGGGTCCTCCCAGCCCACTTCCCAGGTGAGAAGATCGAGGCCCCGGGGCCCGCACACCGCCTGGTGTCCCGACGCCCAGATGCGCAGAGCCCCCATGTCAGGTGGCCAGCAGGACCGGGAACTGTCCTCTATGGAGGAGGAAGAGCCAGCCGATACCAAGCCGCGGCTGTCCATAGAGAGGAATAAAATCAAGCAAGAAGTTGGAGACTTGGGTCAGCCGCCCAGCTCTGAGTCCCCGGCGAGGCCAGGCCGCAGCCACCGTCTTGCCGGAGCCGATAGGGCAAGCCGGGGGGCCCGGGGGTGCTGGCAGCCGCTCGCTGCCAGAGCCTGACTTAGTTAGAATGCAGCCGCAAGATCCCGCTCCTCTCCGGTGATTGACACTTACAAATTACCCAGCCGAAAGTGTCGAGTCTTTGACCCCTGAGTAACATCTTTGGCAAGCCCGAGACTTGCCGGCATTTTGTCATCTAATTACTACAAATCCCTTGAAAATTCACTGGCTGGTGAATTTTTAATGCGGGGCAATTTCAATGTGATGCATGGCCCAGATGGGTTCTCGCGTTTCTCACCTCTCTCTCTGTCTCGCTCTCTTTTTCCTCTTCTCTCTCGTTCTCTTCTCCATCCCTCTTTGCCCAACTTGCTTTTTTTTTTTTTTTAAATCTCACCAACTTTTGAATGAGCCGGTACCCGACAGTCTGGGTGGCACGGGGCAGGGGTTGCACTGTGCAGCCGTTTGGGCCCCGTGTGTCCCCAGGCCGGGTGTTTTGACAAGGTGCTTACAGCCAGAGGCCTACTGTCACCTTCCAGATAGTGCATGGGTCCCCAACTCTCCAAGGCTTCCCCAGCCAGGGTGACCAAGAACACAGCAGGGACTTCTGGGCCTGGCCAGTGGTCACGATCGCCCACCAGTCCCCGGGCAGGTGAGCTGACGACTGTCAGAGTGGTTATAGTCGAGAAATCTCTGTCTCTCTCTCTCTCTCTCTCTCCCCCAATTGTCCATTGGCGTGTGTTTGCACCAGAGAGGGAGGGACCGGGGAGAGAGGAAGAAAACACCCCCAGCCCCCATGGGGTGTGGCCATCCCGCAGTTCCTTCTCCATTTCTCCATCCTGTCTGGCTTTTGCCGGCCCTAGCTTGTTTTTCGAGCCACCGGCCCAGGGATCCGAACCACGCAGCAGCTCTGTGGGATCCGGCTCCCTTCACCGCTCAGCCACGAGCTGGCCCTTGTGCTGAACTTGGGCAGAGCAACTGTCTCACCACACGGTCTCTTTTTTTAATCTCGTCTTTAGGCCTTCGAGTGCTGGCGGCGGCAGGACAGCGGAGAGACAGCTGCCTTCCGTGGGGCAGAGATGTGATCGCGTCGTCTCTACCGAGTTCCCGGACGGTGAACGCCGAGCTGGCCTCCTGCCTCCTCAGACCTGCCGGGGAGGCTGGGCTTTCTCCATCCACGTGTCACACTGACCCTTGGCATGGAGCGAACTTGGGGACCTTTCACAGAGAGGAAGCCAGGCCTCCCGGCACCAGGGCGTATGACTCCCAGGAACAAAACTGTCTTCAAGTCCCAAGTGGGAAGTGGCCCAGGAGCCAGAAACATGGGTCCCCCTCTCTGAAGAACCACCTTCTCCATTCCTGCGTGGTTTCAAAATATTTTTTATTTTATTTTTTTGACCTATTATGTATGTTGAAGTCTTATTTCTAAATACGAAAACAAGGTGCCTCTTCAACTTTGTTCCCTGAGCGGCCCCCTGCAGGGCGACACCATGTGTTCCTGTTGTTGACCTCGGAGAGATAAGTCCTTTCCACCACCCCTGCAGCCATCCCCACCCCCCTCTCCCCGTCCCCCTATTCAGAGAAAAGAGGTTTTGCTTTTCAGCCCCATTTCTGGTTACATATGTACACGGCTGATAAAATATTCCACTTCACCCCTTCTCCCCATGGGACCCGCCGTCTTACAGGAAAAGGGTTTGTATGACAGCGACCTCGGTAGAGCGCGTGTCGCCTGGAAACGGCGGTGGGGGACCGCGCTCTCACCTGCTCCTCTGTTATTCAAATTCCCTCTTCTGGTTTTGATCACGGCAGTCGCTGGAGAGAAAAGGCTTAGGCCTCCTCTGTGGGCTCCGGCCGAGGCCCAGATGGCCACCCTCCTGTCCTGAGAAAGACGATGCTACTGGGGTCCCGACTGTTTGTTCCCTGGGGACACCCACCTCCCTCCCCTGCACGTCACCTGGGGCCTCCCAGGCTGCCGGATGGGGCCTGCCTCTAACCTGCAGGCTCCCCTGAACCCCCCGGCTCTCAGTTGGGACTAGAGCATACTTTGGCTGGGGGGAAGTTCCAAAGTAGCAAGCAGGCCGGATGGCTAGGATCCAGGGTCGGAGAAGGATTCAGGCATTGTGCGTGGAGAGGAAAGTGCACCCCGCTTCAAGGAAGGGGACCCAGAGGGGTCTGGGGGCTCCACCCTGGGCTCTGGAGGGATGCCAGCCAGTGCCTTTGGGGAGTCCGCTTCCTGCCACTCTCCAAATCCAGAATATTTCAGAGGCAAAAAAGGCGCACAGGACCACCGGGTAAAGTAATGGTTATGTCGCGGGACTCCCTCATAGTCAACCGCGGTTCGAGTCCCGGACCTGGCGACTTAAAACTCATGCTGAGTGCACATGTGTGTATGCCCCAAATCCCAGGAGAATGGAGAAGAAGGTATTTGCCACTGGGGAGGGGAGGTGATTTCTCACTTTCTCCTGTGCACACACGCGCCCTATAGCAAAAATCTGTCTTCAACAAAAGCGGGCGGGGGGCACAGGAAGTGTTGTAGGGGGTTCTGGAGACGTCCTTCTCCAAGCTCCATTACCAAAAGGCAGCTTCTCACTTTGTCAGGAGCTCACAGAAGCTGGCATCAACTCCATGAAGTAGGTATTTGCACAGTTCTGTGATGGGCCAGGCGTGGGGCTCAGTGCTGAGGGGCAAAGCTGCGGACCCCGGGCTTCATGGAGCTTCAGTTCGGGCGTGTCCTTTTTTTTTGTTTTTTTTTTTTTTTTTTTTGTACTGGAAAAACAGACAGACAGTGGAGGTCCCTCCAGGGAGAATGGCCACCATGCCATCCCTTCTTCTGGGATTTGGGGCACACACATAGACGTGCCCACCGTGAGTCTCACGTCAGCAGGTCCAGGACTTGAACCACAGTCAGTCACGTGTGAGTCCAGCGCCTTAACCGCTGCACCACCTGCTGGGTGTGGGGTTAAATGAGACCAGAACAGATGGAGAAAACCATGTGAGAGGACCAGGGGATTCTGTAAGAGGAGAAGAAAAGGGGGTTCAGACGTGAGCACAGGTAGTAAGCACCTACTAAGTGCTGAGCGCTGGGATGGCAGAGAGATACCGCCCTGGCCTTGGAGGGAGGTGGCATCTTAGAAGTGGGGCATCAAGGTAGGAGGGAGGTTGGGGACAAGCAGATGGCATAATGGTTACGTCGCTGGACCCCCACATAGTCAACCACAGTTAGAATCCTGGACCCGGCGGCTTAAAACTCATGGCTGGGCGCGTGTGCGTGCGTGCGTGCTAAGGTCTTGAGCAGAGAATGGAGGAGAAGGAATCGGATCGTGGCATGGCCATGCCCCTGGGGAGTGATTTCTCGCTTTCTGTCTCTGTCTCCCTGGTGAGTGCATGCACCCTATAGCAAAAATCTCTGAAAAAAAAAAAAAAGCAGGGCAGGGGTTTGCCAGGGTGAAGAAGGATCAACCACAGTGACCTTCTCACCTGCACTGAGACCCTTCTCCCCGGTGGGACTGGGGGGGTACACTCTGCGTACAAGAGGGCCCGAGCGGCCGCAGGCGGTGCGGAGGCTAAGGATCCCACGTGGCAGACTGTGCCGTTTAAGTCCCAGTCTGCAGCTTAAAAATCACACCGGGCGTGTGCGCAGGTGTACCCACAGTCTTGAGAACGGAGGAGAAGGGCTTGCAGTGTGCCCCCAGGAGGTGATTTCTCACTTTTTCCCTCTCTCTCTAGCTCTCTAACAAGTGCATGAACCCTGTGACCAAAAAAATCTTAAAACAATACCCAAAAAAGGATCCCTGCAGTGGCCCGATCAGCACAAGCCAGGAACACGAGGTCTCACGTTGTAAGAAATGCATTTGGGTCCGGAGCCAGCATGGCCACTGCAGGTAATCAGTTCTGCTGTCTGTCCACCGACCCTGCCCCCTGCTTGTGGTCCTGGCCATGGGGAATGAACAGAAAGGCTGGCAGTGAGATCTGAGAGTATTCTTTTTTTTTTTTTTCTTATTTTCTTTTTGGAGAGATTTTTGCTAAAGGTCATATGCAAGAGAGACAGCAAGTAAGTAAAAAATCATCCCCCAGGGGGGATGACCACACCCCAATTCCCTTCTCTATTCTCCTCTCGGGATTTTGGGCTCACATGCACATGTGCCCAGCATAATCTCCAAGCTGCCTGGTCCAGGACCCGAACCTTGGTCGACCCTGTGGGAATCCAGTACCTTAACCACTACACAACCTGCTGGCCCCAAGAGTTTTCTTTTTTCATGCCTCTTTTTTTTTTTTTCTTGTTTTTATATTTTTGGAGTTGGAAGGAGAAGTATTAGGGACCTTTGAAATATTTGCAAAAAATAAACTGAATTACAGCATGATTTTACTCCAGTGCAGAAAACTTTGAAGTCTATGCAGAGTTTTGGGTTTTTTTGTTTTGTTTCTATATGGTGCATTTCTATATGGTGAACTTTTTGAAGACCCCTCCTATGCAAGCTGTGCATTTTACTCCCAGGGTACTTCACCTATTTAAAGTTCTTGGCTTATTTGTTTTGTTTCTTGTAATCTTTTATTTATTTCATTTAATTTGTTATCGTTACTTTTTCATTTTACCATAGAGAGAGAGAGAGAAAGAGAAAGGGAAAGTGAGAAAGCAAGCCACCAGATCTAGGACTCGAACCGCGATCGGCCATATGGGAATCCAGCGCCTTAACCACCACATCACCTGCCGGTCCCAGTTCTTGGCTTATTTGACCCACAGTTCCCACTCAGCAGTGTCCTCCAGTGCCGAGACTCTTGGCATTTTGTTCCTCTTCTCTTTGACTTTTTCACTCATTCATTCAACGAATATTTATCAAGAGCCTGGCCCTGTGCTTTGGGTGGGAACGCACTTTAATTACAGAACGTCTCGGTCTCCTTAAGTCTCTGAGAAAACAATAATCCAGGAAGAAATATGAGTATCGTTCAGACAGGAGGCTAAAGGAAGAGCCGGCGTGGGTAAGCGTGGTCTGGGAAGGCCACCCAGAGGAAGTGACATTTAAGCCAAGACTCGAAGGCTGGAGACACGCCAGGCATGCAAGCCAAGAACAGGGCGGGAGCGACAGCCCCTCGAGTAGCAGGACAAGCACGTTCAAAGGCCCAGCCGTGGGGAGACGCCGTGGCGGAGTTGCGCTGGCCAGGGTTCAATGGACGATGTAATTAACGAACTTGGGAGACGTTTGGCCGCATACAGGCAGCCGTGGAGGACCCGCCGTTCACCGAAACAGGAAAGATACCGACGCGCTGCAGTGTGGGAGGCGAGGTGAGGACGGGGAGCAGCAGACACTGTGGGATGACGGCACATGCCCTCACCAAAGAGAGGGAAAACGAGGAAGCAAGCCCTCAGGTCTGGGACTCGAACCGTGCTCGACCGTGTAGGAGTCTAATGCCCAACCACCTGCTAGCGCCAGTGGGTTGTTTTTAATCCATTTGTGCAGCCACCTACATGTTTTCTCAGCCCCCTGGCAGCTAGAAATACCTGAGATAAAATTCCAGCCATCACATATAGGCAGAAATCTGGATGCTTTCCAAAAAAGGTCTTATTTTCCTGATTTTAAAAGATAGTAAAACCACAAGCCCTCTTCTTTTCTCTGCTGCTTTTCTGTCTATAACTCAGATGTGAAGCCTGGAGCTGCAGCAGCTATTTTGTAGCCTTGAGGGAAAGGCCAAGAAGATCACGAAACCTTCGCAGTTTGAGCACACCAGCCGCCTCCTCCCTGCTCTATTACTATACGAAAAGAATGGCTCCCATCTGTTTTCAGACATAGTTGGCTTTTCTGTTACTCGATCTGAAAAGCATTTGGAACTCATAGGTGGAGTGAGGGTTCGAGGCTGGTGACAGGTCAATGACAGTACGGAGGAGTCTGAAATCAAAAGCAGCAGTCCTAAGATCCTGAGGTTGAGCATCATGTTTGGAAGAGACATCGCTGATGGCAAAATGCACCCCCTCTTGCATACCTCTATGTCAAGGTCCATGGTTATCGGGCAGAGCGAACAGAATTGGTGGGGGCAGACCTGGGTCCTTACTGTATACGTGGACCCAAAAGCAAACTGGGTGAACGGAGACCACCATCTGCGACAGACTTTTCCAGGTTTTAATTTGGGCACCCATGGAGCCTGGATGGGGAAGGAGTAGGAGACAGAAGTGGAGAGACACAAAACCAGAGACAGGAGTAGAAAAATCTTTCTGCACAAGCCTTGACACTGTCCTCTGGGTCCTCAGAGTTTAAGACATATTGTGGTATGGGACCAGGAGCTGGCATAATGGCTATGTCGCTGGACTCCCATGTAGTCGACCATGGTTCGAGTCCCGGACCCAGTGGCTTAAACGCACGCCGGGCGTGTGTGTCTGCGTGCCCAAGATCCCAAGAGGAGAATGGAGGAGAAGGGATTGCAGCTTGGCCATGCCCCCTGGGGGGTGATTTCTCACTTTCTGTCTCTCTCTGTCTCTCTGGTGAGCACAAACAACCTATAGCAAAAACCTCTCCAAAAAAAGAAAAAAAAAAAAACCGTATTGTGGTGGG